TTAAGCACAAACCTGACTTAAATCATTTTAAACATTATTTAGACTAGTTATCTGTTGATATTAGTTTGGTAAAACTAGGACTTTTTAGCGTGTGAAATATAAAAAAAATATAATGAAAATAATCAGTTGAGGTTTTATACTTTTCTCAAGTAAGTAATAAGTCAGTAGTCAAGTAAGTAATACATTTTAGCCGATGCAGACTAAGAATTTTTTTTTCTTATTTGATTTCTTATTTTATATGGAACTTCTTATTTATAGGAATTAAGTGAGTTCATTTATTTACAACTTAAAACTACCTGTAAGCAATGCTTTCACAATATTTTTGAAAAGGACAATCTTTTGTCTTTGCGCCTCGCCATAAATTAAACTAAATGTAACAAACATTGACTTCGAAACATCTAATGTGACGTCACGATCTGCCGGCAGCTCGTCTGCTACGGTCGACATGTGCGCCCGAGTATATTGTGTCCAAATCCCCGATTAATCTCCAACTTTTATAAGCTTTTGTTCACTCCCTTTCATAATTTTTTTGCATGGCCCCGTTTCTATAACAATACGTAACCAGGATACAGTCCAATTTGAAACGTAACGTTGCTGACTAAGTGACATTTCAGATTGAACAAAATCAAATACCAAATCAAAGTATTATAGTTTTAAAAACAAGGCCGTTAAAGTCGTCTTTACTTTAGAGCGGTCATGATAGAAGTTACTCGTATTAACTTCTAGAGTTTATAGTCTTTTGGTCGCGTCAATTTGTGTATTGTCATTTTGACATAATAGCGATGCCATCCCCACGGGTTATTGGTTGAAACCTGATGACAGTTACTTCGGCTTTTTGACGATCGGTCGTCTCTCATTTTTTGCTGCTATAGAATGAGACGGAGAACGGATTTACTACGAATTGAAAGGCCTACTTAGCGAAATATGGCTCGGTTATTGAGTGATGCATTATAATAGGGCGACAGTCTATTATACTGATGTCACAGCATCCTAAGCCCGATTTCGTGATAATAATTCGTAATATGACTTTATCAATACAAAACCCATTTTAATATTCTGTAAACGTTTTTTATTATGGTCGTTTTGTAAATTATAATTGTGAGTACATAGAATTGAATTATTATAATTGCATAGGTGTACATATTTCGTTCTTTTTAAATCAGATATGGTTATATGAACTGTGATCTGTACATCTGTAACTGCGAACGTGCGGCCGCCTAACTCTCTAGTCATACATAGCTAGCTGTAACTATAGGATATAACACAGTGATATTGTGACAACATTATGTTTCATTTTAATACTTTGACATCTTTTTGAAGGTTACATGAACTAGGTTTGTAACACTACTTTCCAATTCAAAATAATAATTCATCATCATCAGCTCTTTTACGTCCGCACTGCAGCGGCTCAGGCCTTTCTTATTTCCCCATGAATAGTTAAGGAGGATAAGCCATGACCCTCGACGCCGACCCAATTCGGATTATAAGGTATGAATGACTGCAAATGCAGCCGGAACCGTGCCTTCCGAAGTACTGAATAGCTCGAGATAGTAATTATTTGGTCAGCCATCCCGTGATCGACCCTTGCGAAAGTTGCATAACAGCAACGATCGCAGGTCGCAATTTATAAATTCACTTATTGGATGTAACAATTCCTTACAAATTACCACCTTTTGGTATATGCGTCCTCATAAATGTAACCAGGTATTTTAAACACCATTACAAAGTCAAGTGTATACGAATTTAAAGATTTCGATCGAAGTGATTATAAATCCAACCCGGTTGTATTTCTTTGTTTGTCAATTTCGTATGTAAAAGATTTTGCGATATAAAAGATATCTTCTTTGAGTTGAAAACAATAAGTAGGATGACATTGTTTACAATTTAAATATTTTAGTTATTTGAAAACCGATGTTGTTATCTGTTCATATTGTCATAAATAATTATCAAATCAACTTCGGAGTAGACCAAATTATCTATACAATTTTTGGATAGATCTTTTGATATATCCACCGTAAAAAAAGGAAACGGGTCCACAGACATACATTGTAGCGGCGTTTAGATTGAAATAGATTTATTACATTTAGAAAGGTATATTGGTCATAGAAAAACGTATAATTGCTTTAGTTTTATATTATAACAATAAATATATTTTATTAACAAATTTGCAATGAGGAAGTATTTTAAAAAAATTGTTTTCGAAATCTAACTAGATGTCGCCACGGTACGTTCTTGATTTCTCCATAACAACCTCTCCGGTTTTCTTTCATGTTTAAAAGTATTTTAGTTTTCAAAACTCCATAAACAACTCATATTCTATTTGTACTTTTTCGTATTTGTATTGATATCTAAGTTACGAACTTTTCAACTTTCAGTTTTTTAATATGTTAATTAATAGGAACGAAAATTAGTGTCTTTGGTCCATTCGTTTCCTGCAAAAAACAACTTTTGCTAGAGTCGCCGTCTAGTGGAGGTGCTTTTTTAGTTCTTTCGTTTTCTTTAATACTTCCTCATTATACCCTTGCCGTAAATTTGAACAAAAATTATAATATCATGTTTACTACATTACAAGATTGCTTTGAAGTTGAGACTGAAAGATGTCAAAGGTATTATAATGTGCCAACTGTTGATGCCTATTATTATCATCATGTATAATAAATAACGCATTATTGTACCTATGTCATTCGTTAATTCATAACATTTTGTAATATTCTCTTATTTTGAGTCAAGATACAACGCTAATTTAATTGGGGTTTTGGAAAAGATTGTCAATCAAATAAGCTAGATTCCTGTGCTTACATCAAAAAACAACAAACAAAACGTCTAAGCTGTCATGCATAAAGGCCGAACCACATTTTTGTATTGTATCATTACGTTGTTGTTGCTGTCGCGTTTTATTTCATACTTATGAGATATATGTATATATTTTTAGCAATATACAAATACTCAATGTATAAATCAAAATATATAAACAACATTTATTTTAAAGAATTTTGTTATTAATGTGATATACCATTTTTATACTTTGCATTGGTATGATTACCCTTTATTAACCGAATTTTATTGGAAATTAACTAAAAAAATCTTCAATTAACGAAACTTAACGTATATTAACAAAAATACGCACAATATAACTCGACACAGAAATGTGTCTCTGCCATGAGTTTTCAAGCAAGTGTGCAGACCTGCGATTCTGTAAAAACCAAACTCGAAATCAAATTCGCTCAGATGTCCAAATGAGGAAGTATTAAAAAAAACATTAGTTCCAGAAACCAAACTAGATGTCGCTACGGTACGTTCTTGATTTCTTCATGACAACCTTTCTGTCATGGAGAAATATCTGAGACACGTATATTCAGTCAATTTTGTTTTGTATTTTTATACAAAAATATAGAAGCAATAGAATTTCTACACTAAATCACATGAACACGAGATAGAACCTAGAGAGAGAAATATAAATGTTTAACGGGATTTCTAGCCCAGAAGAAAACCCAGTAATATTTTACCTGATTCGGAATCTAACACGAATAAATAAAATTTTATGTATTTCTTTGTTGCTAATCTCTAATAATATTGCAACTGCTGTGACGCTTACGCACGTGTCACTTCATGTTTCTTCTTTTTACCCAGTGAAGAAAAATCACTTCATATCATCTCCTACACTAATATTTCGTTTAATTGTAGTAGTTGACACGCCAAGGAATATTTATGAATGAATTCTTTTAAAAATATTAAGTATCAAGTTCGTCATTGCTAGTTACCGATCAATTCATAAACACTTAAAAATAAAAAAATCATAAATTTCAGCTTCATTTTGCTATAAACATTTGTGTGTTTGTGACGTCACATGCCAGTAAATATTTATTTATTATTATAGGTGATCCCAATACAACAGCGTAGCCACATTGTCTAAATACAATTAGGAAGTATTAAAGAAAACGAAAGAACTAAAAAAGCACCTCCACTAGACGGCGACTCTAGCAAAAGTTGATTTTTGCAGGAAACTAATAGAACGAAACGAATAGACCAAAGACAATCATTTCCGTTCTTTTTAACTAACATATTAAAAAACTGAAATTTGAAAGTTCTAAACTTAGGTCTCAATACAAATACGAAAAAGTAGAAATAGAACATGAATTGTTTATTAAGTTTTGAAAACTAATTTACTTTTAAACATGAAAGAAAACCGGAAAGGTTGGCATGAAAAAATCAAGAACGTACCGTAGGGACATCTAGTTTGATTTCGTTTTCTAGTTTCTGGTGAACTATTTTTTTTAATACTTCCTCACTATAACTTAATAACCATTACTATAACATAATATAAATTGAGTTACTTTAGTGAATTTACAGAATATGTCAAGACGACATATAATATTTATTAACTATTTATTTACGAAGTAAACAAATACTATTGCAGAAGAGAAATTGAAGTAAAATTTTATGTTATGTATCTACTCTAGTTTCTGTTTTATTTGCAAAGTTATTGATTCCGATTATTATTCGTACGTTACAATGAATAAAAAAATTCAAATTATATATTGGGGGGAATTCCGCCATCTGCCAAAATCATAATAATATAAGAATAAAGTGAAAAATGCATGCTCCAGGATATATTGTGTATACGCCAAAGAGTAAAAAACATTAGTTCCCAAAATCAAACCAGATGTCGCTACGGTACTTTCTTGACAACACTTTCGGTTTTCTTTTATGTTTAAAATTAAAAGTTTTCAAAACTCAATAAACAACTAATATTCTATTTGTACTGTTTCGTATTTGTATTCATGTCTAAGTTTCGATCTTTGCAAATTTCGATCTTTAAAAGGAACGGAAATTAGTGTCTTTGGTCCATTCGTTTCCTGCAAAAATAAACTTTTGCCAGGGTCGCCATCTAGTGGAGGTGCTTTTTAGTGCTTTCTTTTTTAAAAATAATTTCTCATTAGTGTGGCAGCACAATATGTCTATGAAAAAAGATTCTTCATGCTCTTTTTGAAATCTATGGTAGAGTGCGCAAAGTAGCTGTCAAACAAAAAGTCAAAAATCTTTTAAGAAGAACGGGAGGACGACTGGCAGTGCATCAGAAATGATTTTCAATACTTAATTTCGTTAGACTGGAGTTATGTATGCCTATACGCATTCGTTTGAAGATATTTTATCTTGTTGTTTAATAAACAGTACTTACGCTAACGTAAGACACTATGGTGCAGTGTCATCCGCCGTTGGAGTTAGAGGAATTGCCAAAAGAAGACGAAGAAAGACTAGAAAAACTTTTTTCTAAATTAGATAATGATGGAAATGGAAAGATTGATATCCACGATCTCTCCGTCGCCCTGAAGGAGCTGGCTCCACACATCAATCGAAGCTATGCAGAGGTTAGAACAATATACATAATATGCGCTTTTATAGCACAACCTAACGGTTTCACTTTTCCGCGGACATCGACACGTGTAGATTTGCATTCATTCATTCATTTGCAAATAAAACTATTTCAAAAATGCTTAATTGAACTAATGTTACAAAACTACTGCAATGCTGTAAACCATTGAAATAAATTATTGACTTTAATTATCAATGCCTATAATTATATCTGCTGCCGAAAATACACTTGAAAACTATTATTTGAGTTTATTTAAATAAATTTGAATGCAGTGATTATACAGAAAAAAATATATATATTCATGTATTTTTATCCAAAGGAGACTGAATTATATATAATCTTATCACTTTTATCATTTTTATTAACATGATCTATTATTTTGTTGACAGAAATTCAAATACACATCAATCAAACCTTTAAGAAATTTAAAATACATTATAGTAAATTTTTTTGTCAATAACCATTTCATTGTGGGATGTTTAATACAAACAAAAAATAAATATTGGTTGGACTCTTGCATATTTTTTATTTTCTAGTTAATCCATATTACATGGATAGTAAGAGAGTAATGGCCTTTTATGTGATAATCATGTTTTTTATTTATTTATCACACCAATATGATGCAGATAGCTGTATTTTTCATTTAATCTAAAGTTCATTACTAGTAATTGTGTTTATAAATTAAATTTAAAATAATCAAATTAAACATTACATTTTAAGAGAAACTAAAAAAAGTTTGGAATGTGTTTGCTCTGACAATAACCTAGATTACACTATAATCAATTGTTTTCTATATTCTTTTCTGAAATATCCTATACCTTGCCAACTTAAAGATTTGGCACAGTACCAACTACAGAGCAAACTGATGTCGCACTGTGTTAGTGTGATATGTGCAGTATATGTTATTGATCTCATCAAATTATAGATAACAATAGATATAGATAGAATGATGTCATTATGTTTATTTGCTTTTATAATAATTGTATTTTGAATTTTTCTTCAGTAAGTCTTCAGAAATGAGATAGGAGAAACGAGATAGGAGTTACACAGTCTTGGGTAACTCCTATCTCGTTTCTGCCATGAGAAACACTTGATATATTTGACATTAACTTGTATTTATTCTGTTTTGATTTCAACACTTGCTAAATATATTATTTGTTGTGCTAAGATTTCTTGTAACTTTTTTTGTTTTTAATCAGCATTCGACAATATCCTAGATTATAATATTTGAATGTACATAGATGATGTACATCCAAATATTATATTTAATAAAATAATTAAAAATTGTCTGTAGCATTACTAAATAGTGCAAAGAAATATATGAAAAGACCATTACTCAAATAAACACATAAATTCATATATAAATAATATATATTTTTAACAATGACAATGTATATATAAGACCTTTGATTTCCTACATTAAAAAACGAATATTATATCCTATTGATATACAATATCAGGTAATCAGATTTTTTAAAATCTGTTATTAATGTTTGCTGTCTTTATTAAGTTGCAAAGAGTTAATTTTATCTTTGACTATCAAAAGAATATCATTATAGTCAAAACAAAAAAAAAACATTTAAAAAATATATAAAACAAATTTTATTGATCATAGTCAGTTCGCCTAAAATTTTCGAGTTATTGCACTTATTCCAAGGACTATTGGCATTCCAAGGGTTCATCGAGAGATGAACACAGTATCACATTTCCATTTATTTCTTTAGAGTTATTGTAAAAATTGACAGTAAATTATATCCATTATTTGAAAGAATACCATTCATAGAATGTATGAATAATTCTTATGATGGGAATATGTGATATGGAAGACATTTTGAACTGTATAATGATTGTCATTCACAGTATGGAAATTCATTGAGTTTATTTTCTATATGTTGTGACATAAAATAATATTTATTTATCACTTTACTTGGCATTGTATCTTAAATTATTACTAAATGTAAGATATTTGTTTTAACTAATGCCATTTTGAATGAATAGAATGTTTTAGATGGTCAACCAATTTTGATTTTTAGAGTTCTGTACCCAAGGGTTAATTTGTCGTTAAAACAGGAGTTCTATTTTATTACTATGGTTTCGCTGTCTGTCTGTCGCCAAACTGAATTTTATGAACCATGAAAGTTAGATAGTTGAAATTTTCACGGATGATGTATATCTGTTGTCGCTTCAAAAACAAATACTAGAAACCAGAATAAAATATATATTAAAGGGGGCTCCCCTTATGGGAGATATAACAAACGTGATTGTTTTGCTCATTTCCAGTACGGAACCCTTTGTGCGTGAGTTGACTCACACTTGGCAAGTTTTTTTAATATAATGACCAATGAATTTTTGATTAGCTCTCTCTTAGGCAGACATATTATTTGCCTATCCAATATTTTGTATGTATATATAATTATATACATATAAATTATAGCATATTAATTATACTTCCCGTTGATGAAAGAATTATTAAAATCGTTCCAGTAGTTAAGGAACTTCACTTCAATTAAACAATCAAAAAGGGTTTTAGAATAGAGAGCACCGTAGGTATTGAAAGAAATCAATTTTAGAATTGCTTATACAAACATAAACCATCGCAGGAATGTACGCGACAAATCATCAGAATTCTTATGTCACCTGTCATCAATCTGCAGTGTAAATTGAACTCATTGCGTCCGCCTCCTTCTACTCTTATACAACTGCGATCATCATTATGTTGCCGCTGATTATTTGCCAATATTTTCGTAGACCCTCAACATACGCTTTACGGCACCCAGTTTGAGAAGTGCTGGGTGAAATAGCCTATGATATTTAAAAAATAACAGAATAGGGATGACGACAAATTTTTCTTTGTTTGTCCGTCAGGTAGATTGTTGAAAAATACACGTATTTTTTTTATTTATTTCGTAATCATTAAATTACGGCGATACATTGAGTGAAAATGTCACATGACGTCACCCTTTGGTTCATTTTCTACAAAACTGAAGAAGCGAGCCCCCTCTCCTCAACTTTGATACCTGTTATCTAAGTTATTTCTTGTTTAATTGAAGGAAAAAAAAATATGTGTCTAATATTTTTCTTTTATCTGACTGACGGACTAAATAGTTTTTTTTTACCCAATCATCACCCCCATGGTGCAATAGCTCCAATAAACTATTCTTAACTTTTCCCATCAAAAGTATAAATTATTGTTATTAACCTTATATGTAGTATTCATTACATATTTAAGGCGTTTTGTTTTATAATTTTTGAGCAAGTGAAAGTTGACTTATTGTTTAGTATTATATTTTTATGTTTGTTTGGGAATGTGAGAACTTCATTAAGTATTTGATTGCCACTTCCTGCCCGTCAATGATTCATTCGGAATGGTACTGTCAGGCAAAACTGTTTATTGCTAATAACCACAGTAAGTTTATTCACGGAACGGTGGATATAAATAATGTCATACCAATTTTAAATTGTACTTTGATATATGTTAAAGCACTTTTCGGGAGTTCTCTATGGGTTAGAACAATCATATTTAACTTTTCGTTTATAGGGACCGAAGAAACGTTGTTGATCAATTTCAAATAGTCTTGATGTTGTAATAAAACTCAATTCAACGATAAAAATAAGTAATAATAATAATGAGTTATGTTTTAATGCGACATTCGGAACTGAAATGTCAATATATGACTGGAAATTAATAACTTAAAGTAGACCAAACTTAAGCCCGACGTTGAGTATATATTGGTTTAGAACTAAGTTCCTTTCAAATCTATCTGTAAAGTAGATAGTGAGATTTGAATGGAACCGATCATTACTGTTGTTTGTCATTTTCGATACGTATATAGACTTGGGAACACGCACAATCCGTTCCGATCCACACCGAACTAGGCGTACACACGTAGCAGCACATTAGGTCATGATGGAAGGCGAGATTATTGCAATCAATTTGAACTTTACTTTCAATAGATTAAGGCTTAAAATTTGTTTATACTAACATACTGTTGACTGTACGACGACTTCCGAAAGATGTACCAAATATAATTTCCTCTATATCCTCTATAGTAAGTACGTTCACGTAAGCACGTTCAATTCGTTCTGAAACACGTCACAGCAATGCACTTCATTTTTATTGAAACCGGTTAATTTAATTTTATATTTTTCATTGAGTTGAGTAGTAAGTACATATACTGTAGTTGTAGTATGATACTTAATAAATACGCGATCGAAAAAGTACTGTTAATGGAAATAAAAAAAAGAAAAAAAATTAGGTACAGCATTTGCCGTATCTATAGTCGCACAGGCGCCTTTATAAGGCCAACGACCTGTATATAGGATACTTAGTAACTTTAGTACTTTGGCTTGGCAACGGAAATGTGTTACTCATAGAAAATGGGTGCCTCATTCGCCGTTCCATTTACTTATTAAATTGCTGTTAAAATAATAGTGTACGAGTATGTTATTTATTAATGGTTGCCTGAGAATTGTTTCAAGATATGGATACATATTTCACTAGCTGTCCGCTAGCGGCTTCGTCCGCATGCTTTAAACTATTCCTTAACCTTAACAGAAAATTTATTCATAGGAAACCGTCAAAGTGATAAAAAGCTAAAAGTATTCAGTGATAAAAGGATTCAATTTCATTCAGTCTTTTTTGTGTACAAACGTACATCCATCCTTACAAACTTTTGCATTTGTAACAATATTATGATGTAGGTCAGTCATGTTAAAGTTGCGGCTCGCGATCACAATATATTACTGAAAGAATATTGTTTTTTGATATTTTGGACTTACTCGAAGCTTCTATTCTAGTTATTCTTAATACAAAATGCTTAAAAAAATCCACTTGGTCCCTGGCACCCTGAGATGGGAATCGAACCCACACCCTTTCAAAATCCGGGCGACTGCTCTGACCACTGAGCTACCCAAGACCAAACAGGACTGACGAATCTTTCATGCACTTGTTACTCTTCTCTACCACAGAGCGTATTCTCATCAATGTTCTAGTTTAATTCTAGTGTTAATTTTTATGCTTTTCTAATAAATCAGTATGTTTTTTTATTATTTGAACTTTGGGAGCGATTCTGTAAAAAATTCCGAACCCGAATTCAAATTCACTCGCGTCTCCGAATTCACGTCGTTTAGTGTAGACATTGTATTGGTTAGATTTTTGTACAGAAAGCAACAATAAAACAAGATTGATTGATTCGTTCATATATGTCTCGATTATTTCATTTCTATGTTATTTCGATACTCACTTCACTTATTTCGTGGCATAAGTTACTACCAATTCAAGGTTGAGCGGATGCCGCTTTTGAAGAGAATTTGGAGTGAATTCGAATGCCGGTTCAGAATTTTTATCTAAATATGGCTCTTTGTCAATTTAAGTTTGACACCCCTAATGTAGGTGGTATAGGTATTGTATATCCTCCATTATCACACAGTACCCCTTGCTACTGACCCACTAGGAAGATTGTGATCACTCTTTGGTATAGTAATGCAAATGCAATTCGCTGAACAAGCACGAGAATTATGTTTGATTTTTAACCTTAAATATTAAGTATGTGCTTTAGGATTAATTGTAATTTAAGACAACGAAAAGATTTAAATTAAAACAATTGAGCGCAGTCACAAGATTATCATATCCATACAAATATACAATTTCAGTATACCCCGAAGATGGTATTATAACGATCATTTGTCGATGTTTCCAGAAATTCTTGGCAAAGTCCGGGAAGAAGGATGCCGGCGATGTCACTCTGTCCGAGTTCATCCACTACGTCAGAGAGCACGAGAAAAATCTCATGCTGCAATTCTCGCATCTCGACAAGAATAAAGATGGTAAATATAACTCACAATCAATTTCTGAATTTTGTTCAGATTTCTCATGACATTTTAATGACCAGCTGATCATACTACTCGCAGGACATACACGCGTCTTTGTTTCTAACAAACTTCAAATTTTTTGACTCCATATTTGACTGCAAGATGCGCTAAGAAACAGGAAAGTATTTCTTTTTGTTCATAAGACTTCAAAGAATATTTAATAAAATGCCGAATGGGTCTCGCATTTATTTGAACATACTTTTTGTACTTGGCTACGAAGCGTATAGATTGCGTCAACAGCTTATCGTGCAACTCAAACCGTAAAAGTCAATGCATGCTTATTATACCAAAATTAGCATCGAAGACCTTGCTTTTATTCCACGAAGACTTGATTTGACGCTGCCAAGGTACTTTTTGCGAGCATTTTTAGTTGATAGTATCAATCAGGTGTTATCTTGCGGAAGACCATTGGCTAAACGACGAGTTATTCTGTGGTTAGCACTGTAAGTCTTGAGAATAAAACAGTGTAGAGTGCCAATTGATAGTGGTTACCTTAACCTAACCATTATCGTCGAAGATTTGATTATATTACATTTTTTATTATAATACTAGCTGATTTATAAATGCCTATGTTATCTACTGAAATGTCAAAATAAGTATAATATTTTCAGAGGCTATTCAATGCAAACAAACTATCACATCTTTACTCTTCATAGTATTAAATTGCATCCAATGAAGTTTCTCCGCGCCTCTCACTGTTTGTCCATGATCGTGAAACCGTTGACATTCACTGAATCTCGTCGCCTTGTACTTGAATGGCTTCTGACTTCCAACGTTTGATCTTGTTATTCAATACCAATTAGATTGTATACGTATATATTTATATTTACGTCACACTTGTGCCCTTATCCCAAAGACGATCGATTATGCAGAACCGGTATGCAATATTAATGAATAATTCAAAGTGTCACGTCTGATAACTGTGTCATCTATGATAAGACGAGACTTCTAAACTAAGCCCTTATATTGATTATCAAAACTGTCAATACAAAAAATTTGTTTTCATCCGACATTTTATTTCTTTTTTCATTTCTAAAACAACGTCGTGGCCGAGTTACCCTCTCTGCGGTTTGATTCTCAGATAAAGAAAATTGTAACTTGATAGATAATAAAAATAGATTAATATGAGAAAATTTTATAAATCTTGATGGTGCAGCGCGCGTTTGGTTTGTTATGAAGAAACTAAGCACCTTTAACAAGAGTCAATCATAGAGATGGGTGACCAAATTTTTTTATAACGTCAATATCCATGTTTCGTCAGACCCATTAAGACATTGGTCCCAACTACATATTACTGAATACTGTAGTAATTATAACCAATCCGCAGTCCAGTTCCGTGACCTATTGATTTGATTCATAGGGTAGCCTCGTAGCCCAGCCCAACATTAGAAGGCTGATTAATATAAAATATAATATTTTTTTCCAAAAATATCGCGGGTGTAGTTGCTATTTTGACAATGATAAATAGACGATAAGACATTAAAATTTCTGAGTTATACATTCCAAAACCTTTAGCGTAAATGGCTTTCGCCAGCGGCTTCGCCCGCGTGGACCCTAGGGAAATGTTTAGTGGAATAAAAAGTATCCTATTATCTAAGTCAGCGAATACCCTATCTGTATACCAAATTTCATCAAAATCCGTTCAGTAGTTTCGGCGTGATTGACGGACAAACATCTAAACATCAAAACAAAGAAACTTACACATTTACAATATTAATAATAGGATTTACAGCATGAACTACGTCACTGTGGTGTGCTTTACCGTCTGTGGTTTTTGTTGCACATACAATTTATATTACCTATTTTGGGATATGACGTAATATGTCATTCGATATATAAGTTTACCACAGTGAATAAGTTGGACAACCTATCACTATTTTATTTTTTCAATCGGGAATTATGTTCATGTCCCTGTGTCACCCGCGTAGAATGTAGCTTCGTTCGTAATAAATAAACTTAATTATAAAATGCAGAGAAACTTTAACGTTTTATTTCATGTACGAGTATAATTTTCCTTTTTCACAAATGTATGACTGTATCATATTATCCTTGTCTTCTTCAGGAAAGGTGGATCTGGAGGAACTTATATCTGCATTCGCTGATCTGGGCATCGCCATCGGTAGAAACGAAGCCACCAATCTTCTGAAACGGTATTATTTTCTTATACAATTCGAAAGCACATGCGAACATGATTTACATTATAACTAACATATGTGTTTCATTCGATGCACATACAGGCAACAGAGCGTCAGGTTATACAAAATTGTCTAATTACTCAACTTGATTTTAGGTAGAGTGGGTTCAAAACAATTGCGTAAATTCGTGAAAATTTAATAATTCGATATGAAATTTTGAGGCCCTTGTAAATTAGTAGGATGGATAACTTCTAGGTGCTCGGTTCCGCATTGTTTAGTTCGTTCAATCTGCGATACTGAGATTAAGGAACTTTCGCAAGGGCCTTTAATAGGATGGGTGACTTAAAATATCCGATATTTTTTATTTATCAGATATATGTCGGATATGTAACATGCATATGAAAAGCTGCGATTTTTGAGCTGCCAGTGGCTTTATTTAACATTTGATCTTTTAAATCAAGTGTAAAATAAAAATTAAGTTATTTAGTATTTAATGTTTGTTTATTTATTATGAAACAATAAAAAAATGGTATGCGAGCAAGGATTTCCAGTAACGTATAGGGGAAAACCCGCTATTTCTAGTAAGTGAGATTGCTACTTCACATCGGGTTGGTTAATACTCAAACTAACAATAAATATTATAAATATCAAATCCGTTGATATTAATCAGCGAACTCTGGACCCCGTACAAGATAATGGCCCATTTAAAATTTATTATTACCATTCACAGAGAACAGCCATTTGCTTCACCATTGGGGATATTATTATGAAGGTAACTTCTCTATCCGCGAGTACGGAAAGTTACTTATTGTGAAAATCATAGCTGTTGATATTTTAGTGAATTATAACAAGTAACAACAAAACTTAATAATAACAATCGGAAACAACAAAATCATAACATTAACTATGTGTGATCTCAATACAACCAAACTGGATCAGTTTACTCGTCAACCAGTGTTTATTTGTTTACGGTACTGATTTTTAACGCAATTAAGTCACCAAAATGGCGGCCAGGCGCATTAGCAATTTGCAAGGATTATATTATGTTAAATGCTGAGCGTTTTATATAAGTTTATTTTGTCAATTCCTGTGAACCTTGACATGTTAATAGTTAGTCCAAAATCAGTTGGAGTATAAAACAAATATTAAATGATAGAAACATTCGCAGTTTCTTTATTAGTTCCTTTTCATAGTAGACGTTAGAATCTACGTATAAAATTAAACTTATGCATATTTATTGTATTGCCTATTTTTTGCTAACGACATTAAAATATGCGTGTATTTTTTTTATATTCACATGTGCTAAGCATTGGGCGAAATGGTTTTCATTGAATGCAAATCGAAATGTTATCAATAAATTAGGTCTTAATTTAGTATTATAAACCTAAATTCTCTAAGAGAGATGCTTGGAAAATTAATCAATCCCAGGTTTTGAATACGAACCCTTAAACAATATAGACGGATCTTGGAATATCTATACAATTTGACGTGTTCCATACGGATTTAATTTTTTCCATACGGATTAAATATTCTGTTGATATACGAGTAATACGATTATAATACGATTGCTATTATAATTGCGATTATAGGTGGTTAGATAAACTTTAAAACCAGAACTGAAGTTCTATCCATTTTATAACAGACGTTTGAGTCCTGCTTCATTTGGCACTGACGATATAGACTTATTGACGATATTTTTCAATTGAAAGCAAAATATCGTTTGTTATAATATGGATAGAACTTTAGTTCTGGTTTTAAAGTTTATCTAAAATTTTAATATACGATTTGGTATCAGTAAAAGCTTGTGTATAAGATGAAAAAAATAGAGAGTTTTAACTACCAATAAAACTTACCTATTATTTTTCCTAAAGATATCCGGAATCCATCTTGAGTCAAGCATCATCCTTTTTGTGACGTTTCCGGTCCAAAACACTACCTCCCTTCTTACTTCCGGCGCCTATGCTGCCATCTAGTTTGCGGGTAGCGAACCAATGACTTTTAGGCACGAACGCTTACCGTCATTATACCTACTCTAGATGCACCAGGTAGAACTTACCTGGATTCCGGATATCTTTAGGAAAAATAATAGGTAAGTTTTATTGGTAGTTAAAACTCTCTATTATTTGTTCCGTTCGATATCCGGAATCCATCTTGAGTAATGTGTTTGTTATCTCCTGGTGAGTGCCATTGGTGACGCTATAATGTGTTGCAGGTATAAAAAGTCAAATGTAGTCTGATGAGAAAAAATAATGCATATTATAAGTATATTATGCTATTACATTCATAGTACATATATTATGCTGTTACATAACAATGCAATTATAATAATTATTCAAGTGTTTCGGTAATCTAAGCTAAATAAATATTGGCTTATCTGTTATCGGTCAATATCATTAATGTAAGAATAATAAAAATGTAAATACATAGATATCGGAATTTTCTTGATTGTCCGATTTATCAGTTTTCGATAGGACTTCTTAAAAGTATGTTCTTGGCGCCAGTTCACAGTTTCAGTAATTTATCCATCGGAAACAGTTCCAGTCAATTTAGAGATGGAACTGCAGATGTAATAGACCCTGAAGAATCTTCTACATTATGTGCTTCTATTTAACAATTTTGAGAACAGAGTAGTTAACTCGTGAAAATTACTTCTTTTTGGGGCTCTTTCAATACAAAAATTGATCGCGTGTCCAATACATGCAATCGAATGATTTGTGTCAGTTAATCATTTCTATCCAGGCTGACATAATTACTATTATCTGTTTTTAATACAAAATGGGACCATAAGGCAAAAAATCATTTTCGTCCCTGTACTTCAAAGGTTAAAAGGGTTAAATAATGGATTCGGCGACCTTGAAGATTGTGAAATTATGCTTAATTTCCAGCAACTTAAATAGAGTCAATTCTGCCAATCTACGTAAAATTTCAATTGTACTATATACCTGAAGTCTAATATTATTAGTGCAATGTCTTCCTAACAATTCAATATTGACAGATATATTTATTATTTTATGATCTAGTAACAAGAATGTGTCATAAAGGGTTGTAGTCGAAGCGCTATTGACCCTCCACCATTACGCCGACATTAGCAGAATTTCCCTACCGGGCACTTGTTATTTGCAGAATTAATACTAGTAGATATTTATAGTCGCTTTACATTAAATCGATAGTTTCAAGATTTTCTTTATTTTATTTTGTTCCGTCCGACTTTTAAATAGATTTTCTGAATTTCGGGGGATGAACACCTGTTGCCATACCTATTGCAGTATTTGCGGAAACAAATCGTCAGCCAAGACACTTTGTCCCATTTTGGAACAATCATAATGTACTAACTTGCCTTGACGCTTACTGGAGTCGAGAACGTATTTGCGGAATCATGTTTGAATAAGGCCAGCTTGCATTTGCACTGATGACGTCATGCGTTATGACCTATTAGCTTGCTCGTCCGTCACATCCATTGTCATGAACCTGGGAATGACGTGTGCTTTTGTCGATGGAATAAGTTCACATCTGGTGTACATTGGGCTGCTAGATTTAGTATTCAGGCTATGCATAATTTCTGAAACTGCCTTGTTCGTGTCATAATTACAAAAATTTCCTAGATTTGGTCCCCCATCTTTGTTTATGTACGGGAATCGGTACAGTTCTCTTAGCATTTACATCTAGGCATTCCGCGAAATGAAGACTCGCGTGAGTAATTGCCTCGAGTTGAGCACTCGAACAGATTTCCTATGCACCTGTCCTCGGATGTTGAGTGATTTGCGTTGCATTTATTGGAAGGTATCATGATACAACATTTACTTACCATTTTAAGTCATTCAGTACTGGGTCTAGTATTCCGAATAGGTAGTAATAGTTTTAAGCTGTCGATGTTAGTGTTGCAGTGTGCGACAGTGTTATCACCCTGTTCGAATCACAAACGAGGCAAAGTCGAGTCTCACCATTAGGAACTGGGCCTGTCTGAGGGACTAACCGCTTTGTACAATCTGATGCTGAAGTGCCATGCGTAGCGTGAAGCGTTCGGTTCAAACAGGGACTTCACTAAATGTTTAGTACTGATTCTGGTAGTTTGATTCGGTGGTAATGGTGATCTTTGGGCAACTGTCGATGGTAGTATTGCAGTGTGCGATAGTGTAGTCACCCTCTTCGAATCACAAACTAGGCAAAGTCGAGTCTCCCCATTAGGAACTGGGCCTGTCTGAGGGACTAACCGCCACGTGTAGTCGCCTCGTGCTGAAGTGCCATGCGTAGCGTAAGGCACTTCGGTTCCGACAGGGACTTACCCCTGACTTCCCCGGCACTTCCCGGCACCTCGTGACCGTGTTGGTCACGATGCACCAGGCAACGCCGAGGAAGCTCAGAACCAGCACACACTGCTCGAAGTTGAGAGACCACCCTAAGCGTTGCTATTGTGGTAGCGCAGTTGTTGTGTTGGTCTAGGCAGCAAAGTTTTTGAGTACCGATGGCAGTCCAAAGAGACACGTCAGATGCATTAGGTAGGTTGTTGTATGCCAGTCTCAAGAACCTGTGAACCAGATGTTGTTCGGCGATGCTCAAATGAAAATACTTTTGGCTCGGATATATTTTCGTAAACCATTCGTTTTGTATGAGAATGTTCGGAATACGAAAATTATTGATCAGTCGAAAAGGTTTTATTTTGACAAATCAGTGTCGTTTTAAATGAAATTGTCGGGCTTTAACATTAGAAGAGGAAATGATACAAAACAGGGTGTTTTTTGTAATCTCCAGTATATTAATTTGAGCATTGCAAATGATATTTGAAGATGGCTTAAAATCCCACGCATAAAAATATAATTTTTATACCATCACATACCTACATAGTTTAGATACCAAATGATATAGTTAAACACTTGTATTATGGAAATCTGAAACAACGAAGGTAACAACACCCAGACCAGAGACAATATAGAAAAGCTCATTATCTGTATTAACATGACCGAGAGTGGAATGCGGGAGCTCGGAAATGGTGACACCTTGGAACTGGTGAGCCACTCGCCCAAGATTCCACATATGCAATCTGGAACATCCTGATTGTTCCATAAACTTACAGATCGCATTAGATAGCCTCCTCCAATGTGTCATGTCATGCATTGTATTTATTTCTAAAGTTTAATGAACTGGTCTCATTACCATTTAAATATTGGTGTGTACTTCTGGTAATCTACCTTGAATCAACTTGCAGTTGCAACCATTTTATGCACCCCCTTGTTTTTTGGGTGCAATATACTATTATTAAAGAAGAACTTGTTCGTTCTTCCTATCAGCCAAAAGACGTCCTGAACGAGTGGTGGGGAAAAATGTTGGACGATTCAAAAGAGAAGTCTATTTGAATAAATATTATTTTGACTTTGACTTTGAACTCTGAATTTGGCAAAAATTTCTGTAAAGGCACCTCAGAAAACTTCGCCACGGCTCTGAACACATCAGTGCGTCTGCCACTTAATATTTGGAAAATATAATCCTTGTTGAATGTTGATTAGATTTTATCAAAAGCTCTTTAGCATTAAGATCTTTAGCAATAGATCAATCTACAATTTGTTGTAAACTAGTTCTAAACTAATTGATTCATACTTTAATTCTGTTAAGGTATTTGTTAATTTGCTGTAGATTGTACCATTTCTATAAAATATAATTATAATGACTTCTATTCTCGCAAATAAAGATCTTATCTTAAATCATCAAATTGTTGTAGCAGAAACAAATCGCCTCAACTTATAATTTAATTTGAGCATATTTCATCTAATTTGGTTTCACCATAGACTGGGTCTTTAACGTTATTAAGAAAAAAAAAAATCCTATTTGAACTTGTGTTGATTGTTTTACTATAGTAGGTACATAAAGAAAATTATCACCAGTCGTAACCGCTGCAAGTAGGAACTGTTCAGAACCGTGGGGTCGTAGGGAACGTGATGGTGGCTGTGGTTGCCATAATTGCGGTCCTGGTATGGATACTTTGTGCTATTTTGTTATGGAAAAATGCACAGGTGGATTTAGTTTTCCAGTTTTTATCATGCATTATCAAAAAATGTCACTGGTTGGGGTAACAAATCGAATGCAAATCACTTACAGTTTTTCTCGCCTCTGTACCTTACTTGCTCTCTCCGAGCTGGAATCCGACGACACTGTTCGCTGAGCTCGAAGACAATAAACACGCCTGCTTCAATGCTGTTTTCTTTGTTTATTTCGCTGTCCCGTTGCTCCATTACGAAGGGAGGTTAATTTTATATTCATTTCATTTTAATTTTAACACTTAACTATATAATAATAAGTATAATTTGTGCACATTTTATGTAGGACCGATGTTTTCGCCACGAAAAACGACGCTATAATGACGGTAAGCGTTCGTGCCTAAAAGTCATTGGTTCGCTACCCGCAAACTAGATGGCAGCACAGGCGCCGGAAGTAAGAAGGGAGGTAGTGTTTTGGACCGGAAACGTCACAAAAAGGATGATGCTTGACTCAAGATGGATTCCGGATATCGAACGGAACAAATAATATTTGAATAGTTAAAAAGATTTAACATTTATATTGCAATATAAATTCAAATTTTGATAAATAAATAGAGATGGCGACTAGGTAATTAAAAGAAATTGTATTTAGTCCGTCAGTCAGATAATAGAAAAATATTAAAGTTGAAATAGTAAAGTTGAGGTAGTAGCTCGGTGGCGTAGTGGATTAGCGCCGCGGCACTCGATCGTTTTTGTTAAGCAACTTTCGTAAGGGTCGGTCACGGGATGGGTGACCAAAAAAATATATCTCGAGCTACTCCCTGCTTCGGAAGCACGTTAAGCCGTCTTCCTTAACCATCCAAAAGGAAGGCTTGAATCCGTACAGTGGGGACGTAACAAGGCTGATGATGATTAAAGTTGAGAAGTAGAGGCTCGCTACGTCACAGTTTTATTTTTAGAGTAAATAATAAGTTTTTAGTAAAATAGTTTACAAATTTTATCCCACCCATCCAATTTTTTTTTATTTTCGTAATATGATCCACTAATATGATTTATCTAAATCTTTATTTAATGTCAATAATAATATGTAATCTATTTTAAATTGATTGCTGTGCTCGACATTAATATAAATAAGAAAGAGTTGCATTTGAATTTCATATATTTACTAAAGTTTAAAAAATAAAAAAATACTTTCCTTATCTTTAACAGCGACCTTACAGTGATGACGAAAAACAAAAAAAAAGAATCCATATTAATCGCATAAACATGCAAAAAATAAGTTAAAAAAAACTTTAAAAAAATCTTAGTCACATTTGGCCAGTTATTTATTTTCTACTTTTAAAAAAGGCGTTTATCATAAAATGTTTCAGAAAAGCCGGTTGGCCTATAATATGGTGGTGAGTAAAAGAAACCCTACCGCCGAAGTATTAACGCCAGCCAGCGCAAGTGTCCAAGTGCCAAACAAGTAGGGTCGCACAGTAATTATATATCCATATACACATGTACTTAGTTAACACAGCGACAATGGTCACATCAATGTAGCTTCGCATATAATGTTGGCACAGTCAAAACTACATTTTCGACAATTTTTTTCAATAACAGAAAGACAGTACTTTCTTTCTTCAATGTTCAGTTGGTTATAAATATATATATTGAGAAGCTTAAATTGAAATGAAATTACAGTAATATTCTTAAACGTGTTCATATTAAAATCGGATAGTAATACTATAGATAATTTCCTTTATTTCAGTTTGATTAATTTTTAAAAACAAAGAATTTTTCTCACTTAAATTATAATAAAGTTACCTTTATAAAACGGACTATATTGCTTAGATTCCCAGATGAGTAGCTAAGCTTTCGTATTAGGGAGTATCTGACACAAAGAAGGTACCACAACACCCAGACTCGAGACAATATTGAAACATTTTCCACATTGACTCGGATCGGAAATCGAACCCGGAAGTCAACATGAGAACCACGCGGATACGGAAGTATTTTGATGAATTTGTAAAACAATAACGCGTTTGGTCTTTGATGTGGAAGTGAAGCAAATTTCGCAATGGTCCGTTAAAGGATGGGTGACCAAAAACTTGTCCATTCCTCCGTGCTTCAATAGGATGTAAATATCGTGGGGACATTAATAAGATAGGATAATGACGATCAAACTTCTTGGTCCCGAAATTATTTGTAACACTAAGAAAATTGGTCCCATACCACAGGATTAGGTCTTTACATTTTATCATCCATTTACTGCCAATTGAAATTGCTAGTTGCCACTTTTGTAAATACATTACAGCGAACTTTTGCCGTAACATACATAACTCGTATGCTTACTTCTCGATATAAAGCCAATGCTTTATCGCTTAAGTATTTTAATTGCAATCTTAAGTCTTAAATAGATGAAATTTCATCGATTCGAAATCATGCAACAATACAGAAAATGTGAAGTTTAATTCCTCAGGATCTTTTATTGTCCGAAAGTAGTTTTGACTTGTCGACATATACGTCTAACATTGACATGTAAAAAAACCATGCTGTAAACTGGTATTATCATTAGATACTAATTTTATTGTATGTACCATAACATCATATTTGAGCGAACATTGCTTATTTGTACTGAGAGCGGAGCACTTGTGTAGTCTATTTTAAGTAGGGTATGTTCGTCCCGCTAACACTTGAGAGCTTGTCCGCAGGATGGACCAGGACGGCAGCTTGAATATCAGTTACGATGAGTGGAGAGACTACCTGCTGTTGGCACCCGCCACTGATATCCACGCTCTCATACACTTCTGGAGACATTCCACAGTGAGTACTATGCCTTAGATTTTACTACTTTTTTACTTTCACAGAACACACTATGAACACGAAGCAAAACTACAAACATATAAAAAAAACAAAAATTGTTAAATTATGTATTCTTTACTAATAAAACACATTGTTTCTTTCTTCATAACTAGCTAGCTGTGCCCGGGACATCGCCCGCTAAGTACTCGTTAAGGCCCGGAAAGTTCTTATTACATAAGCCAGTGCCAGTGAAAAATGCGTCTAAATCTGTCTAGCCGTTTCAGAGATTAGTCGTGACAAACAGACAGACAAAAAATGTAAAAAAACACACACCTCTTACGTATGATAGCGTACCTGCATTTAACGAATTTATAAAAACAAAAGTTTGAATGAACAACAGACATTATAAATACTTAAACCTTAAATAATATTTACTTCCAACGCTTGCGTTAGAACATTCTAATTAACGTTAAATAAGAGATATCGTTCGTTCATTATCTTTCAAAAAAGTCAGACCGCAATCTCTATCACTATAGTGTGCGCGGAAGTGCTAGTCACCGCCTAAGGTATGCGGGCGGTGAGACGGGGAGGGGCGCGATGGACAAGACGCACATGAGGTATTGAAGGACAGATAAATCTCAGGAAAACATGTTAGAATCTATCTTAATCAATGTAATGGCGGTATTTATAATATTTCTCTTATTTCCTAATTTATGAATATTAAATTCATATTTGAAAGTGTTTATTAAATTTTATAATTTACGATACAGTTTTATAATCAAATTACCATTTCTCAATAAACTAACTAAAAAAAATATTTTAATCATCACCGTTATAGTACAAAATTAATCGATATCTTCTTCTTTACTATCAATTTTCATATTCTCCTCAGAATTTGACTCATTTCCTAGAGTTATCACATTGTCAAACCTCATATCTTGGTTCCAATATTGGTTCTAAATTTTAATACGGGGTCGTCACACTTTTGCCATTTTTGCGGAGTGAATTCAGAAAACAATCTTGTGATGATTGGAATTTTGTTCTTTATATCGGCCCACACTAGCTCAATGGGGTTGACAGCCTTAAAAATTTTGTCAGTGGTGTAAAGGAGGTTTAGTATTTTCTGGTGTAAAGTCAACACAATTGAAATTGTAGGTATTTTCTCAACGCATGCATAAAGGAGGCATTGTCCATCACGACCACTGAATTAGAAGGTAATTTATTTTTCAATTAGTGATTACCCATATTCAATTAGTTGTGAAAATTTGCGGCATTCTTATCCCCATGGTAATATCCCCGCATTTAGAATTTGATTTGAAAACAGTTAAAACACCGTCAACTAATCCATCTCGACTACTACCATGAACAATCACTAAACGACGCCCTTTGCCAATATTATCATAAATACCAGGCTCGAAATATGATTGATAATACATTTTGGAGTTGTGACTATTGTTGACGTAGGTTTCGTCCAGAAAATATATGTTTCAGTTTTCATTTCTATATTTCCGTATAGCTCTTAAATACCTTACTCGCCATTCAGCTAAACTGGGTGTCTTAGATTTACATTTGGAAGAAATAAAGAAATATCCCATCGTGTGTAAAAGCTGTCTTAAAAAGGCACAACCGCAGTTCACGATGCCATCTTCTTTTAAAACTGCATGCAGCTTAAGAATACTTGGGATTTTTATATCAACAGTATAAAACTGATGAATTTTTCTTCGAATTACACCCATGTCAAAATCATCAATATGTATTCTCTTTTTTATTTGTTTAGATTTCCGTGGAGACGAAAATTTCAGGTTTTCCGATGTTTGCAGGCATTATGTCGTCATAAACTAGGTGTATCACTTGTTGACTAGAATCATGTCATATGTCATATATTATAAATGTTTTTAAATTATTTTTTCTGCTAAATCTTTATCGATGTAAAATGCATTACTATACACCGTTTTCCAGCGAAGGTCATCGAGGTCATATTGTTCTTTCTACTGCGCCCTCCTCACCCCAAAAGAATTCAAAATGTAGATGTATACGCACTTTTGATTGTTGATGGTTATCGTATATTCAAGACTCTTTGAAAGTCGGCCAGTTCATACTAATAAAAAATATACATAAAAACCTTCCTTTTGAATCACCCTATTTATGACAAAAAACGTAGTTTTAAGTTGCGTAGCTTTAAAGATTTAAGCATACATACGGATAAAGAAAGCGACTTTTGTTTTATACTATGTAGTGATATTTTTATTGTATGATGTAACTAATAATTTACGTTCTTCGCAAATTTTCCTTTATCTATGCTATGAGACGTTGCTTCGTACTTGCGAGTTTTGAAAATTTACGGTCTAGAAATTTGATTTTTTCTTGGCTCCAAGGGACAGTAGACCTGAGTATTTGATTTAAATTTCAGCTTGATACCTCCACGCGTTCCAGAGAAAAAGGCTCTTAATAGACAGACGGACGGACGGACAACAAAGTGGCCATAAGTATTCCGTTTTTCCTGACCCTAAAAAAGGCAAATTCAATAAAGTATTTGATTGTTTATTTATCTACGTAACAAGTAATTTTAGCGTGATATTTGAATACAGTAAAACTCTTTCTATCTGTCGCGTGTTATCATTCTTTTGCTTTATCGCACGATGGCAATGACATTGAGGGTATTTTTTATGATTGATGAAGGCATTGAGCCAGTCTTTGAGAAGTAGTATACTTCTTGGTTTCTTTCTAGTTCAGTGTCATTGTTACTGTATCGATAATCGATTCCGTGCATTAGTAAATTTGAATTTATTTATTACATTTCGTTTTAAGCCTGCGCCTAAATACATAGAAAAAACGAGATAGAGATAGGAAGAAAGGAGAATGGATAACGCTATAAGATGTTTAAGAATTTCAACATAATCACAATAGTTTTCCAGTAACTAATTCAAAATTGTTGTTAACTCGATTTCTCTACTTTGTGCAATAACGTCACCTTATACGTACGATTTCCAAGTTGTCTCCTCTTTATAATTAAATTTATAACTTTATAATTGTCTTCTCTCCAGATAATAAACCTAAATGTCTAAAATTACCAATATTTTGGCGAAAATATTTGATTGGGAAAAATCTTTTCGCATATACTCGTAGTATGCATAAACTTGTAATAAAATCTTTTTGGCTATACCATTTGTATCTTCCTAGTTTCGGTAGGTAACAATAAAAAGTTTAAATTTTAAGAAATATAACTCCGAACTCAAATTAGGAAAATGTGTGATTTTCATTTGTTTTTCTTACTGTCAAAATAAGTGAATCTAAAGAAGAAATTCGATACATTGTAAAATTTTATTACCACAAAGGGAAAAATTCAACGCAAGGCGCGAAAAAATTTGTGACGTTTATGGACCTAGTGCAGTTTCTGTGAGAATAGCACAAATTTGATTTAAACGTTTTCAGTCTGGAAATTTTGGTGTCAAAGATGCACGTGGCTCCGGTCGCCCTGTTACGGATAAAATGAATGCCATTTTTGAACAAGTGGAGCAAGATCGGCATTATAGTAGTTACAACGTAGCTGAAGTACTGGGGATAACCACAAGATAGTTTTGGCGCATTTGAAAAACAATGAGTACACAAAAAATTGGATTTTAAGGACGATTTACCGCACGAGTTCACTGAAAGAAATCTAATGAACCATGTTCTCATTTGTAACAAAACTGAACCATATTTGAAGAAGCTGGTAACTAGTGATGAAATGTGTATCACGTACGACAAGAACGTAGTCAAAGATCGGTCAGCCTTCACAGACTGTGGCGAAACCCGGGTTAACTCGCAACAAGGTGATACTGTATGTATGGTTGGATTGGAAGGTCATTATTAATTATGAGCTGTAATCGCCAGTCAGGATCATTGATTCTGAACTCTACTACGAACAACTGATGAGATTAAAGTAAGGAGTTGAGAGAAAGCGGACATAATTAATCAAAGGGTGTGGTTTTCATCATGATAACGCTAGACCTCACACATTTTTTGCCTCTCAGCAAAAATTAAGAGAGTTTGGGTGGGAGGTGTTATTAACGAAGAGGGTGACGAGGAATGGCGTGGGCACAGGTGCGAAAATAAACAACTTATCTTCTCAAAACTATATTGTCCACAAAACAAATATACTCGCCAAAGCACGTGACAATCAATGAAAGACCATATATCAATACAAAATTAATTAAATAAAAATCAAATATATGTATATAAAAAAAACTATAAAAACAAAGACAACGTATAAAAATAGGTCGGTTCAGCTGACGATCTTCAACAGGAGGTATTAATGCATCCCTCGTACAGTCCTGACCTAGCACCTTTATATTTCTACCTGTTTCGGTCTCTTCAGAATTCTTTAGGTAGTGTCAGGTTAACGTCAGACGAGGACTGCCAAAACCACTTGTCGCGGTTTTTTGATCAGAAGCCCCAAAATTTCTATAGCAATGGGATCATGTCTCTACCTACAAGATGGCAAACATGCCATCTTGTAACTAGAGGTAAATGTGAATAAACATTATTAAAAGCTTTTTGATTTTTCATATAAAATTCGAAGAAAAATTACATTAAGTACTCGTATATGTATTGAGAAACAACAGGCATTATATCTATTCATTTCAATTTTTCTCTTAAATGAGTTCCTGAACTTTGAAAATAAAAATTGATCGAAGAGCACAACAATCATTTGTGTATCGGCAACATTTCCACACAACAAAATTTGAATATGAAATGACACTGTGATAGTAGCTGAAGTACACTAATCAGGTGGTATCTACATCAATCAACTGGTGTATCTTCATTACATCATATACTACAAATCTAAGTCGATTTCGATTTCGAATTGTAGAATAAATTTATCGATATGTTAGCCTTCGTATTAACACCCCGTGGTTATTGCATTGGACTTGCTCGAGGTGACATATGATTCTGCGACATACTTACTTGATTTTTCATCATACTTATCCAAAGTCTACCCACTGTAATGTAAATATTTGCTCAGACATTTAAACAAATAT